CTCGTAGTGGCCGCCTCTGCTTGCTTGCCGACGCGCTGCCTCGGGGTCGCTTGTTGCGCCTTAGACCCGCAGAGAGTTCGGTCTTGTGGGCTTAGGGAAGCGTCACCGTTCTCAGACTAGGGTGAACCAGCCTTGCTCTCCAGGCCGACGCCTTTCGAGGCAATACCTGTCCCTTGCTCTGTCCCGGACGGTCCCGCTAGGTTCTTGCTCAGATCGCGCTGACAGTCAAGGCTGCCGCCAGGAAGTCCGCGACGCTCCTGCGCTCTCCAATGAGCTCCGCGCGGCGATGGTAACGTGGGTGCCGGAAATGTCTGCTGGCGTCGCTGTCGATGTCCTCCGCGCTGTCTTCTGACCAGTATCTCGTCGTTCTGGCACTCGGGGAGTTGGGCGGTTGCTGTTCGGGAACTTCGCCGGTAACCGCAGGGCTCTCCCACCAAATTTACATGTCGTGATTGCCCTGTAGATCAGTGAGAAAACAAAGGGTTCAAATGGTAACAGTGGGATTTATTCTCGTGGTGTTAGTACAGCGTGTGTGTGGCTGGGTGGGCTTCGGTATCTCCTGGCTCTGGTTCCGCTGGCTGCTGGCGCTCCTCCTTCTGGCTCCACTGGATCCTGGGTTTCGGGACGCTCGTAGTGGCCGCCTCTGCTTGCTTGCCGACGCGCTGCCTCGGGGTCGCTTGTTGCGCCTTAGACCCGCAGAGAGTTCGGTCTTGTGGGCTTAGGGAAGCGTCACCGTTCTCAGACTAGACTAGAGGCGGCCGCCTCTTGAAACCGCGAATCGATCTACAGCTCGTCCGTCACGCCAGGTCCTGCTTGGTCGGGCAAGGTACGCTGGGTCGCAGACCACTTTCCTCCCCCCTGACGGTTCTTCGTCTTAGGACTCTTTTGCTTGTCTCTAACAGACCCGCCGGGCGACTCGCCAGGGTGTGGTCGTGACAAAGTTGGAAAACAAACGCCTTGACTTAGCCGCGTGATGCCTTCCGGAACTCAGCCACTTGTGTCTCAATTCGGAGATTCCTGATGTCCCAAACGTCTCGACGTGGCAATCTGGCTCCTTGTGTGCTTCTTACGGCGCTGCTTCCGACGCCTCGCCTGGTTGTGGCTCCCTCGTAGATTACTTGCTTGACTGACTGTTCACTTGGTACTTTAACTGATCTTGAAGGTTTGGTTCCTCGTGATCAACTGATCCAGCTGCCAGCGCTCTGCGGCCTTATATAGGGCCTCCGGGAACGGTTATTTCCCTTTTGCGCACGACCCGCTGGATCTCTCCACCCCGGGTCCAAAGTCCGTGAGTCCTAGTTGACCCACTTGTCCTTCACGTACCGCTTCCAATCGATGCTCCGCCCACTGCTGCCATCCCGCTGATTCCCGTGATCCTTGTGGCACGCCTGTGTGCCGCTCCACTGCCGAGATGTGGCACTTCCTCTCCCGGTCCAAAGTTGACGGGAGAGTCCAAAGTCCGGTGGAGTTCCGTTATCCTGTTTTTGCACACGGCACTCTTGCCTTGCCCGCGAAGTCTCCATTCTCTTTCGATCTCCATGCTTGGTCTCCAAATTCTCTCGATCTCCATCCTTTGTCTCCAAACTCTCTCGTACTCCATACAAGTCTCCAAACTCTCCTCGCCGCGCCGTTACTACGCGAATTCGCCGCGTATCTGGTAAGCGGCCGGCCATCTGCTGCTGCTTCTATTTGTGGGGAGTTATTCAACTCCTCACAGCGGTAAGGAAGTTCGACTGCCAAAGCCAGGTGTGTTGCATGTAATTTAATATTCATTATATGCACTATAAACGCTGTGCCACTATGATTGCATGATCTGTCAATCTGCCCAATTCCGGGACCATCTTGCCCCTCTCTTCCACCTTGCCGAGTTTTTCCCATTTGGCTTTTCGGGCGATAAAAACGAAGGGAAAAGTGCCGCTATCTATTAATATCGCTTTTGGCTTTTTCGCTGGCGGGTTGGTAGTTGGTAACTGGCTACTGGTAACTGGTAACTGGTAGGGAAAAGCTGGGAATGAAAAACGCTGAAAACTCCTAACGAACGACACCTGCATTCGGAAAAGGGCCCTGGCCCATCTGCCCCACTTGGTGGCGTGTGTCTCGCTTTTCTTCTTGCTGTTTGCATTGGTCGCCGTTGCCCCTTTTCCTTTTGGCGATACACCGCTGCTGATGTTGCACGAATGTTGTAAATCAAAAGTAGGCGAGTCACACGAAGGGTCTCCCTGCCCCTTTGAGCCCCCCTTCTGCCAGAGCCTCTGCCTCTGCCTCTGCTGCTGCTGCTGCGCCTATTTGACTGGCAGGCCGAGCGGATAACGCTGGCAATTATCGCGCTTGTGCCGCACGAACAGCGGAAGCGGCAGAGGCGCCACATCATGTTACCCGGTCCGATTCCATACCCCCAACCCCTTCTTTTCCCTTTGTTCCCCGGCATCCTTTCCCTTACCCTTCTTTTTTCTCTGTGCAATCCAATTGGTAGCGCCCAAAACAAAGCAAAAACCATTGAAAATAACAACAACCAGTCCGAGTACAAATCCCCAAAAAATATGGCAAACAGAAAAAATATAGAGAAAAAGATTCAGACCTCCCCGCATATAGTCAGGCACCTAGACCACCCCTTCCGGTCAGTCAGTCAGTCATTGAAGTCATTTATTGCCACCAAAAGTTTTTCGCCGTTTGCCATACCCTGGTTACCAGCGGTTATTATAGCACCGACCACGGATAGAACAGAACCCTTAGCTTATATAGGGATCCTGATAAGTTTGGATGTTATTTACAGTCAAATGGAAGTTTAACTTGGTCAGTGCCAAATGATATCTGTTTCTAAAAAATTCCGTAAAACCTTTTAAATTCCAGTTGAAATTAAATAGCTAACAATCATTTCTTTAAAAACTTTTTTTAATTTTGTATAAAAACAAGTATACACAGAGAAAATTCTGATGTTCTCATCTGAGTTGAAAATGTTCTTAAAAGTATAACGACATTTTTGAAGTTGAAAATGTTATCATTTTGCTCGAATCAAGTTGAATTTGCGGTATTTACCTTGTATATCTCAACAAACAAGCTATTAGTTTAGTCCGTAGAGTATACTTATCAAAAAGTTGTTAAATAAACTCTATTTAACTTTACTTCTCTCACTATTTGATTCTAATATTGAGAACATTGATACCAAAAATATTTACACGGTTTTTGAGAATGAATGTTCTCAATTCAAGAACAATGTTCTTCGATATTTCTCTCTGTGTACGACTAAATTTTTCCACAATAACGATAGATACCATATTAAACGCTTAATACAACTAGTTTGACCCAAAAGGTTATTAGTATATGGTGACTACGAATTATCCTATTCAGTTCCTAACAGTCTAGATCGTATAACGAATTCAGATTTGTTAATTTTTTTATTTTAGATCAGTCATATTTACTTTACACTGACTATTGTTGTAATAATAGTTTTTTGGAAATATATAATTATCTCAAAATTAATATTCATGTCTTTAAGTTGAGGATTATATTAGTCTCTCACCGAATTTAAAGGTATTCCTATCGTCGTTCAACCATTTTGGCCCTCCTTTCTTTCTTTAGTTTTTTTTGCTCCTCGCCAACTATACTTGTCTTTGGAGCTGGAGCGGATCTGGACGACTCCTTGTCGGGAAGGTCCATTCCGATACCGACTCCGATTCCGTTCCATTCCGTGTGCAGGATATGTTTACAATTTGTGGACACGCCGACCGTCATTTGATTGCTTCCCTCTCGCTTGTCGAATTCTTGGTTAATTCGCCAGGTGGCTTCAGACTGCGCATTGCTAGGGGGTTGGAAATCGTGGGGGGGGGGGCTTCCAGGTGGGTCGGAAAGTAGGGAGGCTACCATGATAAGCGGCCCTCGTTTGTTTGCTCAGGAGCCGCACGGAAGATGACGTGCCCGGGATGGCCCATAAATGAGACTGGCTAAGGCAAACAAGACCGGATACACAGGATACATACAATCAAATAGGGCCGTAAACGGAAAAGGGCAGAACAGGGCTATATGTCTCCCTTAATCTGACCAAACACACCTCTAATCGTGCACTTTTATATTTTAATACATATACGCGGAGATCTTCTAAACCAATCTGTGTTTAGTTATTAAAATCCGGTCGATTACCTTTTCAATTTTTTTTAAAACTAACGCTACCAAATTATTTATAAATAGTTATAGATAAAGGAAATAAGTTATTTCATCTTATAATTTATTGTTTTTTTATGGAAATAATTAGATCATCCCCAAATTGTCATCACGAAAGCTTTTACTTTGGTTCTTTAGGCTTTTTTTACGTTTCCTAGATTTATAATAATGGAATAATAATACAAGCTATATAACTAAGGCAATTATAAGGTAATTACAAAATCAAGTTTTTTCGTTTCATGATCCAATTCTAGTTTTTATGATATTAAGGTGATCCCGATTTTTTTTACCTTTCTCAGAAATTACAAGTTTTAAAAAACTATTAGCCTCTATTATTGAAATTAATTTGTCTTATCTGTCTGATTAGATAGTCAATTAAAACATTATTTAAAGCAAAGCTTAATTTAACACTAAAACATAAATCAGTTTTATAATCTTCAAAAGCCTGCAAAAGATTAATTTAAAAAGAATAAAGAATAAATTTCCTTTGATCATGATCTGATCCTCTTAAAATAAATTACAATTTAATTTGTTGAAAATTTCAAAGAGTTTTCCTCATAATTTGATAATGACGTTAAAAACTTAAATAGAAAGTAGTGGCGCCAAAAAAACAGATTTTGATTTTAAAAGCTGGCAGTTACAAGCCGGACATTTAAAAACTGAAAGTCCAACTGTCAATGTTAAAATATTTGTATTTAATTTAGATCACACTCGTTGCTTAAATACTGCTCATTATATTTTCTAAACAATTTGCCATGCAGCCACGCGATTTAATACGCATTTTTTTGCTATTCTGCTTGAGATTTGCCATTAATTTTTTCATTCTCTACCGCCAACAACAGAACGGCGTTACAGCCAAGTCGCAGCGGCCTGGGACTCTGGTGAAGGACAAAAGCTGGTATCTGTGAAACTCGCCCAGCTGTTTTTTATTTTGCACGCTAGTTTTGTTTGTTGAAATATGGAAACCTGCGTAAACTGCGAGGAAAACACGAGAAAATACAAGTGCAGCAAGTGCGAGGCGCCCTAGTAAGTTTCTCCAAGTTGTAGACTCAAGATGGTATAATAGAAAAACCACAATTTCAGCTGCTCTGTGGCTTGTTACAAAAAACATAAAGATTCCCCCCAATGTACGACAAAGGATTTGGTGGGAAAAAAGGCGGAAAGTGCTTTCCAGGAGGAACCCACGCTCCATGTGCCCTTCAGCACAGATGACACCGTTCCCGCAGAGAAGCTCCAGCAATTAGGTGGGTTCACTGATTCCCTAAATCAGCAATTTCTAATAGTATTCCCCGCAGAACACTGCCAGGAGCTGCGCAACTTGCTCCACAATCCCCACCTCCGCTCGCTGCTCCAGCAGATCGATGTGGCCATGAATGCCCAGTCGACCATGATGGCCGCCATGCAGGAGCCGCTCTTCGTGGAGTTCGCCAATGCCTGTCTGCAGGTCGTGGAACCCATGACGGATGCAGAAAAGGCTGAGTTGGAGTTATGCTCCTAGGCTAATCCCATAAAAGTTCCCACTTCAGAGTCTCAATAAATCCCACCATGTATTTTGTAACTAATACATATCAATATCCTCTCCAGACTCGTGATCGGATTGCTTGGAAGGTTTGCTAAAGACGGAGGAAAAAGAATAGAATCTACCAGCAATGTTAATAAGTATACACAACCCACCTTTCTCCCACTATATATTCCTCCAAATCCGCCGGCATCCTGGCCTGGTTCAGTTTGCGGGCCAGGCCAAAGTAGCGTCGCCTCAGCACATATGCCATTTCCTTGGGCTGCCTGTTCCTGGTGAAGATGCCCTTCCTATTGCCACCAAGCCTCGTATAAGCTAGGACAACACATGTAAATTCTAATCAAACTAAGGATTAGCTTCACTCACACTGGGCCGTTTGGAAGTCGGCAAAGTTCCAAACAAACTCCCCGATGAACCAAGAATTCTCTCGCAACTTGTCGAATGCCTGAAAGTGCTGGGAATACAGCTGCCGCTGGAAGTCAGGGGAACCCATAAGCGAAGGCAACTAGAAAGAAAAACCTTGAAACGAAGGGTATACCAAGGATATAACCCTTACCGATCGGTAAGACTCGATGGAATCCGCGCCGTACTCCATCATAATCACCAGCTTTTTGGTCAGATTACGCCACATTGTGGCCTCAGTCTCTACGGGACCTGTGATCCTGTCCAGACTGCCAGAAGTTAAGTACCAACCATTATACCGATTAAAACCCAAAATGTCCAGCAATCCAGCGAGCTTGCATTTACTCGCTTCATCACTTGGCGTTGCAAGGGCAGCCGTTAAAGGACGACCATGGTCCAAATTTCGAGTGTACTTGACCAAGGATCTGGAGGATAACGAGTGGGGTTAACTAAACAGCCCTGAAATACCTCACAAACCCACTTAAAGTATTCTGCGGACTTTAACGTACAGCTGGGCTCATTGGCCAGCGACCAGGCGATGACACTTGGATGGTTCCTGTCCCTGTGGATCAGCTGCTCCATTGTCGACATGTGATTATGCAGCAGGCCTGCGTGAAAGCCTTCTAAGTCCACCGCCGAGCACTCATCTATAACCATTATGCCCTGCTCGTCGGCAAACTGCATGGACTCCTCGGAATATGGATAATGGGATGTGCGATAGGCATTTGCTCCTATCCATCGGAGCAAGTTAAAGTCCCGCAGCATCAGAGGATTGTCGTGACCCCTGCCGCGGATCTCCGAATCCTCGTGGCGGCCAAATCCTCGCAGATACAAGGGTTTGCCATTTAGCAGCAGGCTGCTGTTGTCCCATTTAAGGCTGCGTATTCCCACCGACATCCGGTAGACATCCAGCCGGTCATCATCTGATGTCTCTTCAATCTCTGAATCGCCTTCGAAGAGCTCCACTTTGAGCCGGTAAAGATAGCCTGGCTCAAGATCCATGAGATAGGGCCACCAGGCTCGGGCATGATGAACGCGCAGTCTACCCTTAAAGGGATGCCTGGTAACCTGCTGGGCCACCACTTCACCCTGTTGATCACGCAGCTGGACACGGAAGTAGTAGTTTCTCCGCCACTTTGTCGTGGACTTTCCAGCCATCCACAACCGATACTTGATGATGCCCACTTTCCTCGAGGTGTATTCTGTGGACACGGAGACATCGCTGATGAAGACCAGGGGCGTGGAGTACAGCAAAACACTCCTGTGGATCCCAGCATAGTTGAAAAAGTCAAAACCATATTCTTGTCGGGTTCTCTTTGATGTGTCACCACCATCTTCATGGAGCTCTCCTTGGGGAACAGTCAGATTATCCAGTCTGTTGTCGCACATAACAGTCAGTCTGTTCTCGGCCCCGAAGTTCACAACGCCACCCACCTCCGCCTCAAAGGGCAATCCCCCGGAGCTGTGACGGACGACGTGCTGCCCATTAATCCACACCTCGGCGCGGTAGTGGACACTTCCGAATCGGAGCCACGTTCGAAGCCTTCGATCCCAGGAGGAGGGCACAAAGAAGCTTCTCTCGTACCAAACTGGACCCACATGGTCACGCAGTGACCTACTGACCGTGATGTCATTATAGGATGCGGGTACCGCCATGGGAATCAAATGGCGACCAGACTGGCTGAGACCCTTCTCGAACAAATTCTCCTGGTTGTCCTTGTTGGTTAGGCCAGAAGAAGAACCCTTAACCATTTGCCAGATTCCGTCTAGCGATCGCACTTCCCTAGTCTCCGAATCCTGGGGAAAAAGCAAGCCGCTCGTAGCAGGGAGCTTTTTAAAATCAATCTCCAAGGATGAACCCCGGACAAGCAGGAGAATTCCGATACACAGCCACGTTATCACTTGCATATTGACAAACTGCAACTTGGAAGCTTTCGGAGAAGCCATCTGGTCTCGCTTCTTCCAATTTCACACCTATTCCAAGCCGAACTGATTTAATTATATCTTATCTAATCAGGAAAGTCGCCAAGTTTAGATATATTCAACTCACATGTTGACCACACAAATTTCTTTACTGAATATTATCACTTGAGATCTTGAATACATGCTACAGCATTTTAAAAATTTGAGACTGCAATCTCAGTCGAAATATATTGAAAGTGGATGGGAATAGGAGGTGATTTTCGGGTGATCCATGTGCAGTTCGAAAAACTTGTGTTCGCCTTCTACACTCCAGGTCATCTCCAGATCGTTGTCCTGTAAGCCAGAATATTAGTTTTGGGATGTAAAAATAAGTCATACTTCGTACACTTACCATGAAATTATTACTTTGGTATATGTTTTCACTTAAATGCACATTGAGTTTTGTGCAACGGCCCAAGCCGATCTCCAGTGCCACAAATGTAAAATGCTTAAACCCAAATTGGCAGCACTCCAGTCCCAGTATTTCACATGTCTTGATTTGTTGCATTATAGTTTTTAGGATTGCCTCCTTAGGAAAATGACTATTTTTTAAGTACAATTCGGTTATATTTTCAAAGCATCCATCATATAAGTAAAGATGATAGCCTGAGACTTTCATGGTCTTACACGGGACATTTAACTTTTTAATTACATAGAATAAGGGCATTCCGTCGTTTATCTCGAGCATTTTGATACTACTTCGCTTTGCAGACATCAGGACTTTTTCAAGGAAACTGTCGTCATCATGATCACATAGAATAATCTGTTTCAAGTGCTTAAGGTGATCCAACTTTGTTAAAAACCATCGCTCCAGTTCCCAGCTGTAGCCCTGCAGCAGCTCTAGGTTTTTAATCCCTTCCCAAGGCAACTCTATGCTCTGGGTGTCATTTATATCGAAAACGGCCAGCTTCAAAGTTTTTAAGCTTTTGGCTCTCAGGATGTCAATCAAATGGTCGACCTCCATTTTGCTGCAGTAGGATAGCGTAAGGTTCTCCAGGAACTGGAAATCCACCAAGTGCTTGCCAGTGAACTTACCATGGGGACTAAATGTCTTCAAATTAGGTAAACTCTTTATTATTTTAGGTAGGTCCGAATCGCTTAACGAAAACGAATGCGTTGAGAAGCGAAAATCTTTAAGATTTGGAAAGACATAATCAGTAAATATATCAAAGTTTGCTTGTTTTTCCATCCTCAATCGCAGAGCTTTGAGAGATCGTTGAGTGCTTTCCAGGAAGAAACGAAGATCCTTGTCGCTCAGATGCAATTCGATCAGGGAAAGATTTGAAGATTTATTGCAAGAACGCCAGACATGGGGCATTACTTCCAAAAACCGAGGATGCACTTGTGTCAACCTTAGCTGCATGGGCAGTTCCAGATAACCCAGAATTAGAATTAGGGCATCATCTGGCAGGCTTAATAAATCCGACTCGGCGTTCTGTAAATAGATTTATTAAACAAGATTGTTTTACATTTTAATCCATAAGGTATTTGACAATATTGTTAAAAGCACTGACTTTAAATATTTGAGCTATCTGAAACAGTTCTTTTGACAGTTTTAAAGAGTTTTTTATTTTTATTCCTGTAACTGTTGCTGCAGCAATCATGATTAATATAGAAAATCACACAGGTTCAGTTAAATAATACAGTGATATATTATATAAACATAAATAAAGCTTATACACTTTTTCTTCTAAACTAACGAAACAAACTAGACTGGAAATAAGATCAGAATTATTGCTCAACAAAACTAAAAACTATATTGTTTTATTTCAGGTAAGCAAAACTGATTGAATCCGAAAAGAAAATTAGTATAAGTAATGTTTAGCGAATTTAACTTCATTTAAATTTATATTTAGAGAAATTATTATTTCTAATACATAACAAATTCTTGGCTTTTATTTTGTTAGGAAATCAAGTTTTATCAAATTGTACATAATTGTACATAACAAATTAACAGTTCGCAAAAATTGGAGGGAAATCGTTAACAGAAATCTGCTGTTCTCAGCGTGACCGTCTGCAACATGTTTGGTAAATTTAGAAAAATGTTAATGGTATTTAAATAGTATATTTCCTAGGGCCGTACGGTATAATTGATCGATATTTCCGCGGTCACACTGCTGGCAGCAAAACAAACTGCAGAAATAATAATCCGCGGAGTTCTTCTTTAGCAACCAAAAAAGAGGAACACCCCCAAGAAACAGGATGCAGAAGTACGACAAGATGGAGAAGATCGGGGAGGGCACTTACGGCACGGTGTTCAAGGGTCGCAACCGCGACACCATGGAGATAGTGGCCCTGAAGCGGGTGAGACTGGACGAGGACGACGAGGGTGTGCCCAGCTCCGCCCTCCGGGAGATCTGCCTGCTGAAGGTGAGTCCGTGACCGGAATAGGACCTGATTTGATTCTACCCAAGCCTCTCAACCCGCAGGAGCTGAAGCACAAGAACATAGTGCGGCTGATAGACGTCCTTCACTCGGACAAGAAACTCACCCTGGTCTTCGAGCATTGTGACCAGGACCTCAAGAAGTACTTCGATAGCCTGAACGGGGAGATCGACATGGCCGTCTGCAGGAGCTTCATGCTCCAACTACTCCGCGGATTGGCCTTCTGCCACAGGTATAGCTGAGTTTCCCATCAAATGATTGGAGTCGACCGATATCGACAAGTTTTAACCATTTTCTATTCTTATGTAAAGAGTTGG